TAAGACCGTCGTCGCTCTTTTCCCACCCAGAAACATGTCAAACATTTAACGCGCAATTTTTTTGTTTTTGTTTTTTTTTTTGCAGTACCGGAAGGAAAACCGACCATCACGGCAGCTCATAACATCTCAGCGACGTCTATTTATCTGGCATGGAAACCGCCGAGTCGCGACACCATACATGGCGAGTTCCTCGGATACCGCATAGGATATCGACGACGCGAGAAAGCGGATGAAGAAATGAAGAACATTTATATTCGCGATCCAGCCGTCGACGTGAGTAGCATTGACGTTTTTATCTCTCCGCCAATAATATGGCGTCGTGTGTTGGTTTAAGAAACATTTAAAAAAAAAAAAAAAAAAAACTAAACATATATTTTCCTTTCACATCTTTGTTTGCAGAATCATAGTATTCACAACTTGGATACCTTCACCCAGTACCTCGTGTCTCTCCAAGTGTTCAACCCGGAAGGTCACGGACCGGCTTCGACGGTAACGGTGATGACCGATGAAGGCGGTAAGTTTGAAGAACGAAGAGAAAAATTCGAGATAATTATTATAAATCGTTTTTTTTTTTTATTTTTATTTCTCTTTTATTTCGCGCGAGACGAGCAACGAGATTGCGAGCGCACAGTGGAATCACATATTGCAAAAATGGGATAACTATAAACTCGCGATCTCGAGAGTGCGTGCAGCTGGCAGATAAAGAGCGCTTGTACCCAAATACGGTAAAACAGAACGCGCGGTATCATATCGTTCGTGATAAAGCGCGCCAAGCGCGCGGTGAACGGTCGGCTTTAGCTGCTGCCGCGAGGAAAGAAATCTAGCGTTGATATATGAGAGCAAATATATTATCCGCACTCTCTACCTTTTGTATGTGCACGCGCGCGCGCGCGTAATAATATTTTATATCCAATCATAAAAACGATTTGCATTCTCTCCCCCCCTTCGGTTAGAATATATTTCATCGATACTTGTATTATTATTATTATTATTATTGCACGTCGTCGTCATATAATTCAAATCGAATTACGATCGAGCGATTTGCTTGAAAAATAAAGTATTTATTAAAATAATTTTGCAATCTCACGTGTACACACGCAAATTAAATTACAATATCGCGCGCGTAATTTTACCTTACGTATGTTATAATTACTGCAAAATTGTACGCGAGATAATGTCTGCAATACGATTATTATAATAACGTGTGCGGGATCGATTTTAAACAGTTAATTAAATGCTTTTTGTTCAAGAAATATTAAAATTTATTCGCGTCGCGCATTTGGAGAATATATCTCATTACAAAATGCGTCTCTAAACCGCGCTAAAATGATTCACGCACCGCGTTCGTCGCGTTTTGAGTCATCGTCATTAGATCGGTCCCGCTCGTCCATCGTCGACTTTCTACGATAGTGCGCTCATTGTAAGTGCCCGGAGTTGTTTCCTTCTGAAATGAGGGGAAGCCTCGTGTCTCTCACGCCGCCGCGAGGAATTCTTGATACCCGCATTCATTATGAATACCCGCGCTCTTGTGAATTTTCCGAGCGCTAAAATATTCCGTAACATTCAATGGACGATTAGCATCGCTCGAGAGTTTGTTCTATAAATTCCTCTAAGAGAGTCTCACTCTCTTTATGTGTGTGTGTGTATAAAATAATTCTACGATAAAGAGAAGGATTCAGTTTTTTTTTTATAAGCTCATTACACTGAGAGAAAAAGATAGAGAAGGAGAGAGAGGTAGGGAAGTCGCAAGATGAAGAGAAAGAGGGGACAGCTGATTCAAAGAGTCAGGAGAGAAGGAGAAGAATCCTGCTCAGGCCGGAGAGAAAGAGAGAGAGAGAGAAAGAGAGAAACGCGGAGCGGGAGAGAAACGGGAAGAAGAGGGGAGCGTGACAGCCGGCGACCGTGCGACAAAGGAAGCCCGACTATCGTAGACTTCAGGAGCGACGAAGAGGAAGAGTGAGCGAAACGTGGAAGGAGAGAAAAAGAGAGCGAAAGAGAAACGGAGAGAGAGAGAGAGAGAGAGAGAGAGAGAGAGAAAGCGGGAGCAGCTGCCAGAGCGTTTCGGTCGGCGCCGCGCCTGGTCGACGATCGATTTTCCCCGATTTTTCAGGCAGCACGCGGCAGCCGAAGCGAGAGAGAGAGAAGTGTTACGTCCGCTCTCAACGGAGCAGCGGCATATCGCGTGTGTTCCAGCCGGTTCTCCTCGTCGTCGTCATCGCCGTCCCCGTCGTCATCCGGGAAGACGCGCACGGAACAGAACACACGAACGTCATTGTGCCGTTTATACAGAGTGCGTGGTGGTTGTGTGGTGGTGTTTTGCGCGCACGTGTGTCTTGGTTCAATCCCGGCCGCACGTGAAGTCGACGACGCGCACACACAAACGACGTGCGCGCACACACGCGCAAGAAGAACCGACTCGAGGAAGAAAGTGTGCACGTGAGTGAGAGCGTGTTGTGCTTCTCGCGCGCACGCTGCGGCGTGAGTCGTGAGCGAGCGCGCGCGCCTGAGTGTGTGCAGTTTCGTGCGAAACGTGCGTGATTGTCAGTGCCCGGATATACACACAACGACAATGTGCACGAGGCGACCGGAGCGAGCACGAGCCGCGATGTAAATGTACCGCGCGCGCGCGCGCAAACGCTTAACGTCGCTTGTGTGGTGTACCTTCCAAATAGTGCGTGCAATAGTGTGAGCAAGTGAGTGCTCACGTATGGTATGTGTGTGTGTGTATGTGTGTATGTGGGGCGAGCGTACGAGTGAGTGAACGAAGCGGCGATCGGTGCAGTGCGAGTGCGCGTGTATAGTCGTCCGCATGCACGCGTCGCGCTCACGCGTACACGAGTGCAGTGACAGCGCGCGGCGGCGTTCCGCGGGTGTGAGTGTCCTGTTCGGCGGCGCGCGGAATAATCGTCGCGGAGATTCGCGTGCGAGCGAGAGAAGTGGTTGGTTTCCCCGCGAGAAGTGATCATCCCGATTTGCGGTCAGTTGCGTCGCGAGCTCGCGGAATCGGTCGTGCGAGGAGAGAGAAATCGCGAGAGATCGCCAGACTTGTCCTGGACGATCATCTCGCTGGAGCGAAGGAGATAGAGAAAGAGAGAGCGAGAGAACGGGAGGAAGAGACAGAGGGAAAGAGCGAGCGAGCGAGTGAGAGAGAGAGAGAGAGAGAAAAGGTTCACCGAGATGGCGGCGGACCGTCGATTCCAACGACGCCTCGTCCGGGTCGACTGGTGACGCCTAGTTCGGGAAATCGCGATCGTAAGGACATCGTCGTCGTCCCGAGGCGAATCTGTGCCCTGTCTGGGTGTGATCCTTTGTTCGGATCGCGCTGACTAACGAAAACTCGCTGGCCGCGCGCTGAGCTCTCGGAGCTCACCGAATCGTATTTCGGAACAGTGGGTAGAAACGACGGGGTCGAGGGGTCGATATGACGCGAGCGCGAGCGGGATGTGCACGTCAAGCGGTGCCGAAATGAAGCTAAAGTGGCGGCGCATCCGGAATGTCCTTTAATATCGGTCCGGGTTGCCAGCGCTGAGCGTCGCTACTTCCGGTTTTCGGAGATTCTTTCTTTTTGTTGTGTCTTTCCGATTCTCCGTTTGCGATTTCATTTCGTTTCGTGTTTTCGAGTGTATGAAGTGGTACGTATAAAAAGTACGGCGTGTGCTGCCGCTGATAAGCCTCCCCCCGTTCCTCGCGGGAAATCGCGGAGATTCGCCGCTCGATACCGCGCGTCGTATCGCGAGTGAATGACGGCCGAGGGAAGAGAGAAAAGGAAAAGAGAGGAGACAATTGTGATTCTTCTTTGCGAAGAAACGCGCAAAAACAACAAAGCGAGACTCGTATTCTCTTCTCGCGAGGAAAAAGTAACATTTGTTAAGCCTCTCCTCCCTTGTCTGTCGTCCTCCTCTTCCTCCTCTTTCGCCTCACGCCCGAGCGAGCTTCGCAGTGCGTCGACCTAACGCGAATCGTCATCGCGAGTACGTTCTCGCGAGTGATTTCGATTATCAAGAATTGACTAATCAATTTCGATGAGACAATTCCGCCCTGTGCCCCTGATTGTGACGCGAAACAAATCGCAGTCTCCTCCTCTCTCGTCGCTTTAATAATTTATTTGTATATCCATTTGTATTCGAGATATGATATTCTCGTCGATTTGCAATTAAAAGCGACTCGATTCCAAAAACAGTCTTCGCGTTTCCGTTACGCTCGACGGAGAAAAATAAAATACAATTAGACAGCAACAACGCTGTGAATTCACTTCGATCAGCAGGAAACATTGATAAATCGCGGTGACGCATCGATTCCGTGCGTCAAGAGCGTCGTTGAATACCAACACAAAAAAAAAAATAAAAAAAAAAAATAAAAAAATAACGCGTAGTAAATCACTGCGTCGTGTTTCCTCAACTTCCGCCGCGACTCGATTCCGCGAAAAATAAACGAGCGAGAGCGATTCGCGACGCGACAACAACGCACGACGACGACGACGACGACGACGACGACGACGACGTTGAAGGATTCGTCGTCGCGGGAGTTCGATCGGGTGAAACTCGGTGCATCCGCCGCGTGGAAACGAGCGTGACGACCGGGAGGGTGAGAGCGCGGGGAAGGCAAGAGCGGCGACGACGGATCGTTCGTGGGGTCGGTCGATCGGTCGGCTCGCTCGCTCAGTGGCAACGCACGCTCCGCTGCTCCTCTCGCAGCAAAATCGCGCTCGCGCACGATCGAGGTCAATCCGTTCCGCGCCGCCGTTTCGAATCGTCGACTCTCGACGGAACGTTCCAATTTCCACAAGCGACACTTGACGTTCTCCGTGAATGGCCCTTGCGAGCCGCGCCGCAACACGCGTCTCTCTCTTTCTCCGTTACCGGACGCGCTAAGATCGCGCTTTTCAAGCATTTGTCTCGTCTTCGCGTTTCTTCTTCACTCCTCTCCGTATAAAGCGACTAAAA